GTAGTGGTTGGGAGTAGTAAAAACCCCACACTATAAAATTTTGCTGAGTTTGAGAAACACTGCCATGCATTACTTTTCAGAATAATTATTTATCCAACAGATAAATTTAATCAGGCTCAATAGCTAGATACATATACTTTGAACGATCTTAGTTAAGCTTCAGCCATTAACTCTGCCCCTATAAACCAGGGCTGTGTGACATGTGAATCCTGCCACATCTTCTGTTCTGATCTTTTCAGATACTTATAATGGAAGCAAGCGAAACATCTTGATTTTTACCGCATTATAAAAACAGTTGCTGCTTCTAGTGGGACATCTGGAATGTTGGTCTCCTCTTCAGAGGACTTGGATTGAACAATATCGCCATTATCAATGTCAATCAGAATTAAGTCATCAGCTTCCTGTTTATTTAAAACATAGATAGATTAATACTTAAAAATAGAAGGAACAATCCAAAATGGATGTTAGGCATTACGGCAGATGTCACCCTTGGCAAACTAAGAACAGAAACAAATTTAATTTTAGCTTACATGCAGATTATTTATCAAAGGTCTGTTGATCTGGAAACCCAACTGCCAAAATGAAGGAAAGGCAACAGTGAGGTCTATGGGGACAATGCTAGCAGTTCTGAATTTGGATCCCACCTGCCATAGAAACACAAAGTTGCATTGGCACGAAGTGGTTCAGAAAAGAGGTGGTCCCCCTGGGACTGGAGAGCTGAAGGGCAGCAGATCTGGCCTCCCCTCTCAGCCACAGCAAGAGCCTGAGCTCTGTTTTGCGGGGAGGGGGGTGCGGGTGCAAGTCGGGAAAGCAACTTTCTGAAAAAGTGGTATAAAAATATAGGCAAGAAAATCAACCTTCTAAAATCTTCTGGCCTGAACCACCTTCTGAGTGGCAGCAGTGAGATGTGAGCTCAGTGGATTAAGAAGAGAGTAAGCAAGTGAGGGAGCTGAAGCAGGAGCATTTCTTGCCAAATATTGGGAAGAAGACAGATTTACAAATAGACCTCGTTTAATAACTGCTCTGTCTGGCAACTGTTTGAAGTTACAACAGTGCTGAAAAAGTAACTTTACAACCAATCCTCGCATTTACGACCATCACAGCGTCCCATGGTCACGTGATCACCATTTGCGCGCTTTACAGCCAGCTTCTGACAAGCAGAGTCAACGGAGAAGCCGGCAGCAAAATCGCAAATCGCAGTCACGTGATGCCTCACGTCCGCGGGTGATTCGCTTAATGATGGAAATGGAAGTGAGGTCATAAGCTCGTTGCAGTCACATGATCTCTCTCTTAATGACTGCATCGCTTAGCAACAGAATTGCCAGTCCCAATTGTGGTTGTTAAGCGAGGACTACCTGTACAAAAGAAGGTTAGGTTGAAGCATGTTTAGAGGCATGGCACAAAGATGTCATAGTTGCGAGTATCTCATGCGATTATTCATGACAATCTGTCCAAACTTTAATTATTAGAGAAATAACCTGAAAGGCTATAAATATCCAGAACTTAAAGAGGCGTTTGGTGGTTAGAGTTGGACAGCTTATAAATTCAAATAAATAAAAATAAAATAAGTACTTTCAATGGAGCAACTCATTCCCACTTCTTGGTTTCATACAGACTTAAACATAATCAGCTATTTTAACAGACAACTAATCTTTGATACATTAATGTAGAAACCTCATTATGTGTATGCTTACCTACTGACCTAATCTATGATTCTGAATCAGTAATGTATTTGTCTTTTAGTAAAAAAAATAAATAAATAAATAAAAAAGGGACACCACTTTTTCCCTCAGACAGTGATTTAAAAATAAATGTTTCTGTCAAGACCCCGTAACATGAATGTCACAGGGTATCAGATGGTGTATTTCAAAAATCTAAATGTGTCCCGTAATTGGCAAGCTGATAAAATGTGGTCACTTTAAGAGATTTCCTGAATATGCAGTCATAGCAAATAATGCTTTTATCAATGGGATCAACAAATGCAACTTGGTTACAGTTTTTACTGATGTCTGTGCAGAGATAAAAGTGAAGCTGCAGATCTAGAACACGATTCACCACCGACCTTGCAAACTTCTTCGAAGTGGTCGATGTGACACCCCATAAGGAAGGAGGTGGGTGCCATGACAAAATCCAGCATCTGGCGAGACAGGATGGGTACAAAAGTGTGTTGCCACTGAATAGGATGAATGTATAACATGAAGCATTCGGATACCAGCGTCAGCAGCGCCCAGTCAGAACAGAAGAAGACAATTTTTCGTTCAGTCAAAATACAAGTAATGATCTGAGAAGAAAGGAAAACCAACAGATCGCCATAACTTTTAGATAACAGGACAGCCACATACAAAATCATATATTTTAATTTTTAAATGCTCAGCTATTTCAAATGCATTGTATCAGTATCCCTTGCCATTCATATCTCCATGAGATCCGAATCGGCAGCGTTCTGCTGTCTTGTTCAGAGTGCTCAACGTTGCGCACGCATATCAATGTACGCTCAAACCTGTTTTCCTAGGAACAGAACAGGCACATTTTTATAGACAGAAAGCAATTTCTGTCCAAAATACTTCCTGCACAACATTTTTAAAAAGATACATTAAACTGTGCAAAGCCTGTGAAGCTTTGATATCAAAAGCCTCTATATAGTTTATTTATTTATTTAATTTATTTTTTAAACTTGTCCCCGCCCATCTCCCCCCAATGGGGGACTCTGGGCGGCTTACAACATATTA